GAGGCCAATTTGTAATATAATAAAAGTTTAACTAATGCACAATTAAAATTACATAAATTGCATATTATTATGTGATAATGTTCATATTAAAAAAGAAAGTCATGTTTTTTTTACGAAATAATAGTTTTCCCGTCACAAATATTATTTTTAATGAAATAAGTATACATAAAAATACAATAATAAAAATAATAGTATTTTTTATGTAGTTCAGCCATTCGATTTTTTTTGGGTATTTAAATAAAAAATATAAAAATTATTATCTTTAATTTTTTTTATTTTGTTTTTTTTTTTGTTATTATTTGGAGAAAAAAATGAAACTCATACTGAAATAACCGATATAAAATAACAATAATAATAATTGACCCAAATATAAAATTTCGTATCGAATTTATATTCGTTGATCTAGTCCAATTTTGTGCAATCTGATAAGCATTTACGTGCAACACGCATAATCCAAACGTGCAATCGCAATACATAAAAAATATATACGAAAAAATATTATTAATTAATAAAAAAGTCGATAATATTTTTCATATAGTTCAACATGTTTGGTTATTTGTTTATTTAAAAAAACTAAATCCGACCTTTAACCAAATAATATAATTCGATCGATTAGCATAATTACTACAATTTTGTTAGATGTAGTGTGTTATGTTATAAGGTGCAACATGTTGTGTTATAAGGTGCCATATACTGTTGTATAAAGTGCAACATATTTAAATATAAGGTGCAATAATGAAATTTTGATACGTTAGCATGCTTTTTGTTTTTATGTGATGGATATTGCAATATTAGGTATATACGTTTTATAGGTTTAGATTGAGTAATATTTTTTGGTGGCAGCTGTTGATCTTAGTTGTGGATTGAGGTGATAAGGTGCAATGTGTTGCTTTATAAAGTGCAACATTTTGTTTTATAAAGTGCAACGTTCTGCAATATAAAGTGCGCTAATATATACATTTCTATATGAATTATGTGGATTTGAAAACTAGTTTTAATATATACATAAAGTGCAATGTGTTGTTTTATATGAATTATATTATGTAGATACATTTTTTAGATTTATGATGTTGTGGTATTTCGGCAGAAGCTATCGACGTTAATTGTGGATTGTATAAAGTGCAACGTGTTGCTTAATAAAGTGCAACGTGT